ATCTCTACCATGCAAGACTTGGCCATGTTGGATACAACAGGCTCAAAGCAATGATGCAAAAGTCAATGTCGAAAGGCCTCCCTCAACTGTCATACGCTAAATCAAAGTTTTCATGTATTTGGACGAGGGGTGAAACTGTGAAAGGTAGTGTGCGTGATATCGGTCAGACCTACCATGTGCTGTCGGATTGGCACGGAGTTGACACCACCATTCTAGTTTTGCTGAGATGTTACCCTTTTGCCAATTATACACGGCCTTAGGTTTGTGTATGTTTTCTTACCTTCTCTTTCAATACTCTCCATGAATATAAGACATTAGGACTACACAAAATGAAAAAAAAACTTTTACATGTTATGCCTTTTATAGGGATGACAATGGGGTGGGTGGGTTTTAGAGGGTTTTGTACACTAGATTCTCCCTACCTCTAAGGGTGTCAATAGACTGGTTTTTTATTGGACCCCATCCAGTCCAAAATCGATTTGGACGGACCAACAAGACATATTGGATTGGATCAATCCGGTATAAGATATTTATTAGATTGGATTGGACCTGGTCCATCCTTAATAAATTTATATTGGATTTGGTTGGATTAAGCCCATATCCGGTCCATTGATATAAGATAAGAATATAGGCATCAATAGACCGAGTTTGGGTTGAAACCAATCTAAATTAAATCAAATTTGAACAGATTGGATGGTCCAGACATTGAACTAGACCGGTCCAAAATATTCATTGGATTGGATTGAACTTGGTCCATTTGTAATGGACTCACATTGGACTGGATCAGATTGGACCAAATCCAATCCAATTGACACCCCTAACTACCTCTCTGAACCATCCCCAAAACTTGCATCATGTTGGATTTTCAAAATCCAAACTCCCTGAGAACATAAAAAATTCAAAACTCTCTCCGGCTCTACCCCCTGCATTTGAGGGTTGGGCAGGTTGGAAGTTGGATCCGAAGCCTAGATAAACATTAAAATTTTTAATTATTTGATCGAAACATGTAGAAAATACATAAACTATAGGTTCAAAACATTAGTAAATTTAACAAATAATATATAAGTTCATATGCCTTGCAACAATAAAGTTGATTATAAGCACTATATATATATATATATAATTTAACTATAAATACTAGAGGTATTTTAGTAAATTTAGCTTAACCCTCCAAAATATGTTTTCCAAAAAAAAGAAAAGAAAAAAAAACTGCTCCACCAGGACAGGTAGGAATAGCTTCTCACCAAATAGGGTGAAAATTGCCATACCTATGTAAACCAATGAAAATTCATCAAAATTATTAGTGGTGGTGTGGGGAGTGGGTTTGACTAATCAAACTCTATGATAGTGGACTTTGACCAATCATACATCCCCCTTCCCAAGTATTTTAATGAGTTTCCTTTGGTTAGGACTAGTATAAGATGTTAGAGTGTAGGAAATCCAAACTCTAATGACCTAATAAATACCAAATATAAGACCACGAACTAAATGCTAGTGCACAATATGTTCAACACAAACGAATGGAACAAATCCTGACTCCCTTAATTCATAAGGAAGAATGATTATTGGTTATGTATGTAGACAAAATTGTCATTTAATTAACAACTTTGCCTTGAAAACATGATTTCAAGTATTTAACTTCTTGTCCAATTAAACAACTATCCTGATGTTGTCCAAAGTGAGGTGGAATGTACTAATTAGATAAGCCATGTTGGATCTGATGACCTACATGCACCAATAGTTAGACACCTCGAATAGTTTCTCAGGGAGGAGCACTTCGATGCTCTCATTGTCAGTTAGGCCAAACTGATCATAACCAAATGAGCTACAGAACTCAAGGGAGTAAGAGCTGGAGAGAGCTAAAGGGCTTAAGAGCAGGAGAGTGTGTGGAAAGTTGAAAGTTTTACCTTGAGTAGCACACCCTTCTATACCTACTAGGGACTGTCGTTGTACTTCTTGTTAATGGGACACATGTTGACTTATGGGACGACTAATGGTTGAGCTATTAGGGGCGTGAGCTGCATGTCAAATGAGGTTGTGCCTCGAGTCATAGCCCATGGTCACATGTTTGTTCTTACATGCATAGACTTCCTTATCTTCTAGATTATACCCATTATTACATGATTGCTTGTGGCTCTGAAACAAATCCTTGCCCTATCTCCAATCCACATCGGGGATTAAAATGCCCTTCCATTCTCCATCTCCGATGGAAACGGGTTCTTTATTAGGGATTCAAATCCTTGAATTTTTTAAATTAATATTATTTTAAATAGGGATATTTTTAAAATATAAAAATATTAAAATTTATTTTAATATAAATAATATCATGAATTTGTCATCATAGTGACTATGAAACTATCCTTAAAAGAGGTTGAGTAAGGTCATTGATGATTTTGCCCCTTTGATTGGTTGATGAAACCACATAAAAATGCCCTTTTATATTCCACCTTATATATAATAAGTTGCATTTGTCCCATTTATCCTCTGTCATAAAATAGTTAAAATATTTAAGGTTTTATTACATACAGGCCTGTTTCACTTTTCGGTAAGTTATTTATCTTGGCAATTGTAGTTGCTGGGTAAGTTTTTCGGATACACTTACCCGGGTAAGTGCATTTACGCATGTTCTTTTATTTCTCATACAAATAAAACAATGACCATTTTAGCCATAAAAATCCATTATTAAAAGGGGTATTTTTGTCCCATTCAAGTATTGACAATTCCCTCCTAGGTGGAAAAGTCATTTATCCACCTAGGAGATGGGTATCACCAAATAAGTGATACCCAGAAAAATAAACTTTTCTTAATCCCCACATAAATTTGAAAAAAGAACATCGGGTTCTTGATCAATTGAAATCAAATTCCCATTGACCAATTTCCCCCCTCTCAAAATCAAAAAAAAGAATGCCCCCACAATGTTATTTATTATTCTAAAATCTCAAGAATTAGAAGATTCCAATCTAACAGTTCTAACTTGGGTTTTGTCGTTCCAACATGTGCCATGCTATAACTTCAATGCACCTTATATTGTTCTTAAGTGGATTACGTACTTACATAGTATACAGTCCTGGTCTACTTGTTAGTGAGTGAGAGGGGAGGGGGATTCCGCCTCAATCTCGCTCTAGCTATCTTAGTACCAAAATATATAATGTGGTTTCTTCTTTTGACATAGAAATTGCTTCACCTTCACCTGTTAATTTCTTTCTCTTGTTCCAAAGCAACACACAAACACATCATGTGAAGCTAATCAATATAAAAATCCAAGTACTACAGGGATTGAGTTTATAAAACACAAACCACAAGACAAGAAAAACCATATATTATAACTCTCCACTTGCAAAGCTTAGGTTCCAAGGTTTAACCCATAATTTTCTTAACAGAAAAAGGCAGTGAATTGAGAGAGAGGGTGGTAGTCATGAAAAGAATCCCCTCAGCAGCACATTTTCCATGGAACCCTAAATATAAATATAAAATTTATACAATTAAAAGGATGGAATCCAAGGTTAGTCTCATATTCCTCTGACAAGCTTTGCACTTGAGACAACCATTTAAGTTCCTATTGCACGTGAGATTGTTTTCTATCTTGTACCCAACTATCAAAAAAATGCACGTGTGCACATATCTTCACATAGGGAAGTGAGTCATGGACTCACTGGTCAAGACACCGAATTTCAATCCCACATTACATGATACATCATACATGCATCTTTCTCCTTTGTCAAATTGCAGGTAACAGTTGTAGGGTACCCCACGTCCTTTGTCCCATACAAAACTAGTCCTACAACAAGGAATAAAAGCTGTTAACTCTGTACTGGATCCAAAGCCTAAAAGGGGTGGTTGTTTTTTGTGTCTCAAGGACAACATATAGAGACAAGGATTGCAATGAGATCTGAAGAGGGTAGGCGCCCCTGTTTTTGTGCTTCATGGTCTAGATTTCTCCACGTTTAGTGGGCCCATCACCTTTTTCACTGTTTAGAACTTCTATATAAATGTGTCATGTCTAATTACATCTATAAATACTAAAACCTCTTCTCATTTTTATCTTAATTCTTAAACATCTCCCACTAAGTGAATCCATAGTTAACTTTAATAGAATGGGAGAACTATTAAAAAAAAAAAAAAAAAAACTCTTGGGGGGTGTTGGATGCTTGAATCTGAATGGCCTTCAAGGAAAAAAAAATAGCTTAAATCTGAATATACCCATATAGGCCCAATTACTAATCGGACATCTCCTTTTAGTGTGACTGTGATGTTATATGTATAAACGTGGCAGAATTCTTGTGTGCAGGAGATCCAGACTCAATCCTAGTAGCCCATCTTTCATCTTTGTGTTTAACGGTTGGGATGACAAACACAATCAATCAGTCTTTGAAGTTTGCTTTGTTAATAAAAAACTTTCCTTCCAAAACTACCAATAAGGGGGTTATTGATAGAAGAAAAGAGCACGATTTAGAGGGGGGCCAGGGTGTGTTGAGGAGAGAGAGCGCATTGATAAGCACGTGGTGTTGCATGCCTCACCCCCCGCCGCTCTCTTTTACAAAACTGAAACAAAAACCAAACTGAAAAGACTCTCCATCTTCCTGATCGTCCCCCTCAATTGATCGCGGAGAAATCCTTCTCTTGTTGTATCACTCGTCCACTATCAATTTTCTTTTTCGTTTATTTTCTGTTCTTTCTCATACTTCTTTGACCAGCTTTCGTACCCCTACAGTTCTGTGCTGCGCCCGCCCTTCCTATCTTTCTCTGCAACGTTTCGATGCTTTATCTAAGCCGCTTGCCTGTCTAGGTTTCGTCTCATAGTTGTTCTTTTACCTTTCATTTGGTCATTCTATTTAATTATGTCTTATCAATGCTGTGATGGATTTCCAATTTTAGATCGGTCTATTCTTAACACTTTACACTTAGGAAGCTGTAATGAGGTTTTGTTTTCTGGGTATTTGATCATCTTTCTTTTTTCCTTCTTTTTTCTCTAGTCCC